CAAGAAAAAATGCATTATGTATACATGAATTGATGACAATTAACCAAACTTGTTTTTTAAAATAAAGGGGATATTTTTCAAAAATAAGCAAAACGTTAACTTCATCCTAGTTATCCTAGTTATCCGTTAATATAACCATTTGTCAGACTTGAAGTTAACGAACTTTAAACTTAAATCAAAACACTGACAACTAATGTTTTAACATAAAAACAAGTTGACAAGGCGTTTCAAACTGACGTTGTCACGAAAATTATTCACAGTTTTTTAAAGGATACCATAACAAGAACATTGCTATGGTTTTTGCTTACTTTCTTATTATCAATACCTCAACATGAAATACGTTTTGTACCTGTCATCCGAAGGAGGTAGGGGTAGCATTTTTGCGTTGAATTATGTCGAATTATAATTTAAATTCAACGTGTTTCAGGACTTAAAAATGTACCGTAACCGAAATAATGAATTTATTTCATTTGGCTTTTACACACTGTATGTGCTCATTCATCGATTTCCAATGTCAAGTCGATGTTGTTTATTTGGAATCCACAAAAATCATTTCACTCTTCTGGCTAAATTGAAAGACATTGGTTCAATGAAATCTCGATCACTACTTTCCAAGTTATATCTGTTCGACAGAATGCAGTTTGGTCAATACGAATCGTTCAAGACTTGAAGCTATTCTGTTGGTGCAGGTGTGCCACAGGGTCATTACTTGGCCTCTAGTGCATATTCCAAACTATTTGAGAAAATACTGCAAAATAATTATCTATTTGGAAAGTATTACTTTGCTGTCATCCTGCCAGCATAGATTGAGGGATATTTAGGAAAAATCTTTCTACTGCTTCCGCGATAATATTTACGAAAAACTTGATAGGAATGATTTTGTTATCAGTGCGTTTCTGACCTCTCGAAAGCATTTGGCATTATATCATCTGATTTTATTTTGAACAAATTGAATATGCTGGGTTTGCCAAACAACGTACTACTGTTATCTGAATCATACTTCTATGATCGTCTCATAATTGTGAAGCAAGGAAATTCAGTATTTAATGAACGACAGGTTATGCTGGGGGTTCCTCAACGCTCTGATCTTGGTCCCCTATTGCTTGTAATCTTTGTCAATGATCTATACAAATATGTGACTGATTGCCATAAAACTCTGTTGCTGAACAACACAGTCATAGGACCAACGATCGATAGTTTGATAACGATGGTCAGATCTCCAACAATGTATTCAGTAACAGTTCATCAAAACGCCAAAAGCTGCTTTGTTGTTTCATATCAACTTCCTCGATAACCCCGCGAGGACATAAAAAAGGTTTAAAGAGGTTATGTCAGGTGATCTTGCAGGACACCTGACAGAACCATGTGTTCCAATCCATAATTCAAATATCAACAAGGAGATATCATCGGATTCAGAAAAGTATGCAGGTTTGTCAATTGTATTAGTATACATGGATTAGCCGAATGAATCTTTTTTGGATTATTTCCAAAGAATTCAAATATATCCTGACTTATGGCTTTGCCGACATTTGTTTTGATATTGGTGAACAAGGGGGTAGAATAATTATTTACATTCAATAAAAAAACTACAAGTGGTTCTGAATCTGTGTCTCTTATGGATAGTCCATTAAATAGTGCTGCTTGTTCTTATTCCATATTAAAATTATTTTGAGTGGGTCAACTACAATTTCTATCTCATTACTGATCAGTGCTATTATTTGCCATGTTTTCTGCAACCTCCACCACAACCTCCTCGGCGTCTTCCTCCCCCATAAGACTTCACTAGGATAATCTTGGCTTTTCCTCTTGATCTTCCACCTCCACAATAAGTAGGCATTGCCAGAGTGCTGGAAATAGCGATGAGAAGAATCTACAATGAGAGTTATTGTGATCAGAGTAGGTAGGTATATACTGTGTGACAAAGAATGATAAACACCCATTTGTATTGAAAATATTTCAATATTGTTTTGTATGTGTATTTATGTTGAGGCCAGTAAAAAGCTAATAAAATTTCAGCCGTATCAGGAGCTATTCTGACCAGTTTTTTTTTGTGTGACCATTTACCATTTCTTCAATTTTTATTCTTATTTGTGCTTTAACTGTTAAAGAGTTTGTTGTGAAGTGTTTCGTATTGTTAACACTATGCCTTGAGTGCGAAGACTTCGTCGTATTCCTAAACTTAGTGACTTTGATAGAGGACGAATTGTTGGCTTACGTGAGGCAGGTTTTTCAGTTAGAGAAATTTCAAGAAGAACCAATAGATCTTTGCGTACTATTTCAAGATGTTATCAGGCATGGATCCAAGAAGGCCAAGAATACAGAGCTATGGGCACCGGTCGTCGCAGGGGAACAACAGTTTATTTCACCTGAGGCAATTGCGAATCAGTGATCCCCAGTTTGATGTGGAGAGGCACATCCACTATGCTGTTGGTTCAATGGTATGGGGTGCCATTGCATATGGTAGCAGGACATCTTTAGTCTTTATTAGGGGCAACATGACAGCTCTCCGTTACATTCATGAAGTACTGGGTCCTCATGTCCGTCCATATCTTGAGACCATCGAGAACTCCATATTCCAATAAGACAACGCTAGACCGTATGTGGCTAGACTTCATGGATCAGCATGACATTAATCGCTTACCATGGCCACCCAGATCGCCCGATGTCTCACCAACCGAACATGTGTGGGATATTTTTGGTCGCAAACTGCTGAATTTTCAACAGCCCACACAAACTTTGGCAGCACTTTGACATGAGTTAACAGTAGGGTGAAATAGGATACCCCAACTGAATATAGACAACCTCATCAGGACAATGCCCAGACGTGTCCACGAGTGTATAAGACATCGACGATCTGCAACACATTACTGAACTTCACTGGTTTGTTTGCTATTATCTGTCAAGTATGTAAGTGAAAAAATTATTGAAATATTCTCAATATAAATGAATGTTTACATTTCTTTGTCACTTAGTATACAAAGGTTCAAGAACCAGTATTTGAGAATAGTTTGATATTTATGTGGATAGAACTGGCCGACACTTCATAAAAATATTCATTAACTACTCAGAACTGATACCATTTACTGCAAAATATAAAAAAACAATATTATTTGGAAATGCAATCTGGAAATATCAATTTCTCCCAACGTCCCTACACAGTAGGATACGGTGAAAGCCTGCCGGAAAAAACTACTTCCCTGGCTAATACCACGATGAACATTGAATTATATTCGACAAACATTTATGCAAGTTATGCCTAATATAAACTGAAGCATTATATTTAATGAATAAACACCTCAGGAACCTCCGCCTATGATTTTACGAGTTTTACGACCGTTTTATGACTTGGGCCCTCATTTTGTGCTATCGACAAATTATGAACGGACTATAGTGACAAAGAATGATAAACACCCATTTATATTGAAAATATTTCAATATTGTTTTGCATGTGTATTTATGTTGAGGCCAGTAAAAAGCCAGTAAAATTTCAGCCGTATCAGGAGCTATTCTGGAGTTTTTTAACTGTTCTTTTTTGTGTGAGCATTTACCATTTCTTCAATTTTTATTCTTATTTGTGCTTTTACTTTTAAAGAGTTTGTTGTAAAGTGTTTTGTATTGTTAACACTATGCCTCGAGTGCGAAGACTGTCGTATTCCTCAACTTAGTGACTTTGAGAGAGGACGATTTGTTGGCTTACGTGAGGCAAGTTTTTCAGTTAGAGGAATTTCAAGAAGAACCAATCGATCTTTGCGTACTATTTCGAAATGTTATCAGGCAGGGATCCATGAAGGCCAAGAATACAGAGCTAGGGGCACCGGTCGTCGCAGGGGAACATCAGTTAATTTCTATTGAGGCAATTGCGAATCAGTGGTTTGAATAACACGGAA